TGCTCTGGTGTGGGGCTGTGGCGGCTCTGGGCGTTGGGTTTGCCAGGCCTTGGCTGGACCGCTGTTAGCCGGGTGCCCGCAGTTCGCCCAGGGCATAGGTGCAGGTTGCTGTCAAAAATCCCTTTTCCACACAGCAAAGGGCAGATTGGGCCCCTGTGCTGCTATTTTAAGGTATTAGGGTGAGTTTAAGGTCTAGTGTACTTCTAAGAAGCCTGCATTTAAGCAGTTTTGGAATGAAGTTACTGTTAGTCTATATACATCTTCTTTATTTTCAGATTTCTCAATTTGCTGCTGTATACCTTTGTCTTCCCGTGTTTTGGGAAGCCTTCTTCATGAATCTGGGCAGTAATCTGTACTCTGAAATGTAAAACCGTTATCCAAACAATAGCAGGTTATCCAAGGACATTGGATGAGCTCTGCTATAGCATCTTCAGATGCTGAGTTGTAACTACACTTGAAATACTAATCGGTATGATGATGGGATTGTGAAACTGTAAAAAGCACAGTAAAATTGCAAAGATACAGATCTACAGGGCTAGCAAATGGCTAAAGCAGGTAAAATAACTCCAGGCTATTAGGTAGGAAGGACAAGTTCTTCTGCTGTGTGTTTCAGCCCCTTTTGTATAGACTTGGGCAGCAGAAGGGGTGGATTTGGTTGTTTGGCAGATTCAACTAAAAAGGAACATTTTGTTCGTGGGGCTAGTTTCCCTGTTGATTGATAACCAGTGAACAAAGGGTCGGTAGATTGTTGGAGCCAGGAGGCTTTAGGAATCATGTAGGTGGGAAAAGAACAGAGGGGAAGATGGCATTGCTTCTGAGGGCAACGCTGCCTTAGATTAGTTTAAAAAGGTTGTAAACCACAGCAATGTATTTGTGTAGGACTTAAAACTGCAATTATCCTTACAAGTATAAGAAGCTGTTGGCCACACCTATGTGTGCTTATTTAAGGGGAAATGCCCTCCTAGTAGGGAGAGGGTTAAGACATTCAGAACTCATCTCTGCAAGTTTCTGAACAGTCTGATGCAACCCTGAAGTTAGCCTTGCTTTGAGCAGGAGTTGAACCAAAAGAGCTGTAAAAATCCCTTCTGACCTAAATGTTGTTACGAATAATTTGAGGTAAGTGGCTGCAACTTAACCATTACTCTGAAGATTAATGCATTTGCTCGTGGTTCATAGGAGAATCTATCTTGAAGTTTGCTCAAGATGGTTCCTGAAAGTTTACCCTATTAGGTGGAGTGGTGGAGGGCTTGTTACCTGATTAACATAGGATTTTATTTAATTTCTTGTATTCGCATTGATTTTCAGGGAAAACTGAAAGACAACTGATTACAGTTGGATCCCAGGCTTCTGGCTCTGATTGCCCTGATGCCCAAGAGCTAACATGCAGTCGGCAGACAGAACCACATAAGGTACATGTGTGTGAAAAATAACACGAATGAAGTGTGCACGTTCAAGACAGAAGAATGCTGCTCCTGAGCAGTCTTCAGATGGGCTTAACGGTATATGTCAGTCATCCGCTGCTTCAGCTGAGGTTTTACTGGACAGCAGTGATTCAGACATGTGAGTTTTTATCTCTAGTTGAGCATTTTTCATGTGAAGAACCTGTGTCGTATATCATAAAATTATACATTCTTTTGAAAGTAAGTACTTTCTTCTTCCCCTTCAGTGATCTCTCTGCTGCTTGTGGCAGTGAATACCAGTCCAAGTGCTCCATTGCACCTTCAAAGCAAAAAAGATCTCAGTCTTCAAGTCAAGCTGAACCTGTTGCAGGAGTGCCTGACAATGAAAGCTCTTCAGATTCTTCTCTGTCCCCTCAAAAAACAGTGGAATCACCAGAAACTTCCAAGAAGCAGAAGTCAAAACTCAATTTGAAAGCCATTTTTGCCTATCACTTCAGGGGAAAGAAGTTTAAGGCTGCTGCACACCGAAAATACAAATGTGTCTGGAGGAGGAAGAAGAAGAAGAAGAAGAATAACAACAATGAGAGCAGACAGATGCCTATGGGGAGGCGACCACTGACAGCCTCACCTCAAGAGCAAAAGAGAAGGCTTCTAGACAGAGGTTTACAATTTCCTTTTGTTGAAGAACATTATGGGAAGAAACATATTCCCTTAAAGATGGTTCTTGGCTATGAGGTGGGTCCTCTGTTTTGTGGGATAAATGTATTACTTTTTTATTTAGTGTAAAAATAGTGAATTTAAATTGGCTGTGTTGTGCTTCTGCCTGAGGTACTACAGTGAAACTGTTTTTACTTCTGTTAAACAGGACAGTTGATGTTGTCTGTTCAATACCTTTAAGACAAACAGCTAAAATAGGGGTGTGGATATAATACTACAGTTCAGCTCATAATAGAAATCCTTAATAATGGTATTTTTAAGATCTCACCTGCTGTATTTTTTTCTTTAGCAAGCAGCTGCAAAGGGCTATTTGCAGTACATTGAAGTGCTTAAATATGAAGAACATCTTAAAAAAGCTTTAAAAGCCCTTCAGGCGAGTGAAGACTTAGAAAGAGAATGTCTGGCAGTACGGAAACACAAATATTTAGATGATGAAGGCCCCATTTCACCTATTCAGGAGATGAAGTAAGTTCATCTTAATATTTTTAGGTGGTATAAAACTTGCTTTTTTTTATTCTTCACTAAAATATGAATTTGTATGTATAAAGGTGGATGTGTGACACCCCCAGCCCCTCTGCTGGTGTGGGGACAGCATCAACACTGCTTTAGTGGCAAATGCAAACCAGCACCATTCAGGCTGCTGTGAAGAAAGCTAACTGCATCCCAGCCAGACTGGTACCCTCTGCTCCACTTGCAGTGGAAGAATTTGGGAGGTAGTGCAGTTGCTTGTGGCAGCATGTCATTTTGTGACAGAGTTGTGGGTATATCGAGTTCAGTTCCTATCCTGTCCTTTTAACCTTTATCAGCATTGTGCAATCTAAATCTGAATATCTGCTTATGAAAGCAAAGTTTAATTGGGGAACAAAACGCTCAGCCACCTGGAATCCTGTGACTTGGAACTTCTCATAGAATGAGACATGTTGAATCCCAAGACTGATCATTGTTTCAAGTGGTGATTTGTACAGTTTCATTAAAATGACGTGGTAGAATTTTTTTTTAAAAAAGGTGTTTCCTGAAATTAGTTTCTCTGTAGTTATCCCAAATAAAGTAGTGGAGTATGTTATGACAAAAGCTAAAGGATATTTTTTAATTTCCTTTTTCACTTTATTAAACATTGAAGTATCATCTTAGGTCTGTCTTTATGGTCACTTAACTGACATGCAATAAAGGGCTCAGTAAGTGAGCAAGAATACTTACTGTTGTAAATGTACTCAGCACCTTAAAACTAGAAAGCCTAAAAGACAGTGTAAAGGTATAAAGCTGTCCTTCAGCTACTCTTCACTTTAGTAATCACTTAGTGATTTATGGGAGTTGAAGTACAGGGTAAGCCTGTAAAATAAGTAACCACAGTGAGTTTGCTCTCGTACAAAAGAGCAGAAGAAACAAAGTTCTGTAGAATAAGTGCAAGTCAGTTCATCCAGACACTCAGTTCTTTACATGAAGTGAGTACAAGAAGACTTTACAGGATTTACAGTCCTCCCTGTGCCACCTGTTCAAACCCTAGTACTAAAATGGTTTCATCTCCTTCTCGGGAGTCTTTCTACCTTCAGAGAAACCTGTGGATGATGGTGGAATTGAGTTTCGTACTAGTGTTTCATTGCAGTATGAACATAATGGTTCTCAGTTGTAATACCAGGAAGAAAGCTGCATATTCTTGCTAAGTGAGGCCTGTCCTCTTATGTTCTTGATTGTATTCTGATTGTTTTCTAACTTGCTAGTTTTTCTAGCCTGTTGGCCGGTGTAATCCTAAATACCTCAATACTGCTGTTGATGTCTGCTGCTAAATGTTTGTTCCGCTGCGAAGCACTGCTGCTGTCCTGCCAGTGCTGCTGGCTGGGGTGTAATTCTGCTGTCAGACACTGATTTGCATACAGCCTTACGGAGAAGTAGTATTATCTTGCACCTACAAGCTGTAGCACTTCCATACATGTTAAGAAAAAAACAGGGCTTCTGGTAGGAAAACAGTTTTTACACGTTTTGGGCTACTATAAAAGTACAGACCTTGATTTGAATTTTTGTATTTCAGTGATGATGATGACAGCTTGAATTCTGGTAATGAAGATGACTTTGATGCCAGAGTAGTGGTGAGTAAATATTCCGTAACTTCAGAAACTCTAACCTTTCTCTTCTGAGGTTAAAGAATTAGCAGATAATGTTTGAGTACTTAATTCTTGAGCTTGGATCCAGAGTTAACTGAGGCAGAAGGAAGTTGGAGAGCCCACAGTCTCCTCTTTGAAATAATGCTGGAATGTATGGGAATTGTGGAGTTCTACCAAAATCTTACCTTTTAAGTATCTCAAAACTAGACTTGTGAATACTTCTGTCTTCCATTTCCTTAGGAGAACAGCTCTTTCATTATAAGCAGCAAAATTCCCAGTAAGAAAAAATCAAAGCCAGGAACGAAATGTGCAAAATCAGGTAGATCAAAGTAGAGGAGGAAGATGATGCTGCTGCTCAGAACTCTGGGCTTCTGCAAGGCTCCCTTCAGTGAACAGAGAACTAACAAAAGAGGTGGCAGTGGTCACTCTCAGACACCTTCTTCATGGCCTGCTTGGTTTGAAACGTGGGCCTGAAGTCAGTCTTGAGCTGCCAGCCAAGCAACCAAGTCAGGTTTGGTTTAAGGTGAGTATATTGGGCTTGTCTGGTGGTTGCAAAACAAGTATAATCTGTGTTTTTGCTAAGCTTTTAGATGTCTTCTGTGCTGTCTCGTGTCAAGTGCATCATATCCTCGATTCAGTGGCTGATAATCTTGCTTGAAATGCAGACTTGTGCAGCTTGTGTTCTGTTAACCAATGGATCGCACAATTTATGTAATTAAAAACAGGAAAACAAGTTCCAAACATTGTAACATAGCAGCAGTACAGTGTAGCAGTGTGCATTTGTGGATACACACACATATACGCTCAAGTTACAAAGGGCGATTTGGATGCCTTTCTCTTCCATAGCTGACTTGCGAGTGGTACTTGAGGGATTGTTTCTCTGTATCTTAAGGAAATGCAGGTTATGCTTTGAAATACTTCCGAGAGCTGAGTAAGGGTTGAAGACAGAATTGAAGCTTAATGCAGATCTTCGTGCTAACAGTAAAAATGCAAAAGTGATTCATTCCTCAACTTGGATAAGTCTATCGTGAAATACAGTTAACACGTTCAAATGACGGTAGAATCAGCTTGTATGAGGGAGGTGGTTTGTTCCATGTGGAATAACTTTTCAGAAAACTCATTCTCTGCTCCTGTATCCAATACAGTAATCTGTATTTACAAGTTATCTTAAAAACAACTGTAGCAGCATAGTGAGTCTGGGATTAAAAGATTCTTTTTCCCCTCCTGTCCAGAATGGCATCTGATGTAAACATGACTAAGCAGAAGATGAACGTTTATAATGACAGTACTTAAAAAACACTGCCCGAATTGCAAATATCTTTCCCAGAGGTATTTTAGGCAGTTGGAAACACGACTAGTGAACGTTTAGAAATGGTCTGAATGCAGCTAACTCCTAGATGACAAGGCTGTCTTGGTAGCAGTGGAAATAAAAAATTGTTTAAAAACTTTACTTGTGAATCAACAAGATTTAAAAAACAAAGGGTGATCCGCCTCACTCAGATTCTCTTAACCAAATTGCTGTCAGCAACAAACAAACAGCTGTTCAGCAGATAGAAA